TGGCTCCTCAAGAGCCTTCTTGGCACTTTCAATGGTCTTGTAGACAAAAAGAGCAAATCCCTTGGGTTTCCCAGTGACCTTGTCAAGCCCAAGCGGGCCATCCTCGATCTCACCATACCTTGCAAAGAACTGAAGCAGTTTGTGCGGATCGATATCTGCACCAACATTGCTGACAAATATCTTCCGTTGCGTATACTCTGACACTGGTGGCAGCTGCAATTGAGCCGGGGCTGGCACAGCGCTGTTGGCCGCACCACCAGGGACAGGGCCAACAGAGGCGAGCTGGCAGGCGGTGCTGCGGTTACCAATCTTCTTCTGGGGCTCGCGTAGGGCGGCTCGGGCACCAGAGCGGTGACGGAAGAGGATGAACCCGTACCCCTTGCACTTGCCCGTGTTGCGATCGGTGACGACCCTGAGGTCCTCGATCTCGCCGTATGGGCCGAACGCCTCGGAGAGAGTGTCCGTTGTGGCGTCCCAGCCGAGGCCGTGGACGAAGATCTTCCGCTGAGCCGGGTCGGCGTCGGCCACGTGCCGGATGGTGGATAGCACGTCGCTGTGAGCGACGGCAGCGTCGCGTAGCAGCTCGACGAGCTGGTCCTTGGGAAACGAATCCAGGAGCGCCTGGATCGAGGCCGGGTCGCTCTCGCCCTCGCCATCCTCCTCTTCCACTTCCACTTCCTCCTCGACCTCCACCTCCTCCTCAATTTCCTCCTCTACCTCCTCCTCGCCGCCTGCCCCCTGGGGCCGCTTCTCCTTGGCCGCCTCAGCGGGGGCGAGAACCTCGGATAGACCGGCGGCCTTAGCGGTGGCGGACCTGTTTGAAGCGACCGAGGGGGCCTTGGTGGTGGTCGGGGAGGCCTTAACCGGCTTGACGGCTGCCGCCGATTTGGGCTCGAGCTTCCGCTTCTTGCCCATGGCGACGGCGATACGGCGTGGGAAGCCGGGGATTGCGCGCTAGGGTTTCGATGGATAGGGGATTGGGGGCCGAGGGGACGACTTCGCCGTCTCGTACGGGTAGTTAACGGCGGCGTCTGACGGGGCTGTCTGTGCATCCTGTGTCCTGGGCCTGAATAATGTAACAAAGCCCACCAATTAGTTTTTCTCTTGTTTTCTTAGGGACGGTTTGGATCGAAGAAATTTTGGAGGAAAAAAATACATGAAATGTAATAAAATGGAGAAAAGAAACCCGAAGAGAGTGTTTGAAATGTAGGAAAGATCGTTTTCTTTCCTTTGAAATATTGTTGCCAGCCTACCATTTCGAAGGAAAATAAGCATCCACTCTCACACTTGTTTTGATTTTCTTCATGAAGTTTGAGGTGGCCTGCTGCATTACTTGTCTGGAAGTAGTTATTAGCGTTCGCCCGCACGGTGTGAGCAACGGAGCAAGCACGCTGATGCTGTAAGCATGTTGAGAAGCATTAATGAGGCATCTGTGTATATTTTCTGTGTTATTCCTGTTTGCTCATTCCTATGATTTTTTTTTCCTCGAAAGCTATAACTAAAAAATATATTCCTCTTTGCCGGTGGGAACTCGTCTTTTGGATAACCACCATTGGTGAGATCGGCATAATCGAAATACTAGTCTAAGGAAGGCACATTCCTACTTCCTTCTGTTTTATTAGTTCCTCGAAATCCTCTACTAGTCATTAGTTTCAAAACAAAGATATCAAGACAGGTTAGTGTTTCCATAGATGATTGTGGTAAGTGCAAAGCACGACGAAAATTGTGGGCTATGGAAATGTTTGAATCTTTAGCCAAATCTTACCTCGTCTAAGTAGCAAAAAGATCAAATATGGTTAAGTGTTTGGACGTGGCTAAAAAACAGTCGTGTGTGCCACGCACGACCGTCTTCAACCTCATGCCTCCCTCTTCCTCATCGTCGGTGGCTGCACTAGTACCTCGTCCTCGGCCCCCATCGTCGCCCTCCGCCCCGCCGCAGTGCGCTAGAGTTTGGCCAGAGCTCCGCGGCCGCGTACCCGTGGTGGCCGCCTTCCCCCTCCCTCTGGCCGAAGCTCCCCCGCCCTGACTTGGCCTAGCCGCCTTCGCTGTTGCCAGGGCCCCTAACCACCCTCTAGCCATCCCTACCGTCTGTCCGGCCTTCCTCCCCCAAACTTTCCCTTCTAAGCCCGACGGAGTTAGGGAAGATGAGAGGAAGAGCTCGCTAGAACCCTAACTTGGAGATCCATGAGGAGGAGGAGGAGGACTACCTCGCCGGATCCGCCATGGCCGCCATCGGATTCACCGAATCCCCCATGGCTGGCACTGGGGAGGAGCTCGCGCGGGCGCGGGCGCAGGGAGGCGTGGGGCATGGGCACGGGGAGGAGGTCGTCATGGAGGAGCTCGCTGGTCGCCAGAGAGAGAGATAGAGTGCGGGCACCTGGGAGTATGGGAGTCGGTGGGATGTGACTTGTGAGTGTGCGCACGAGCTAAAAAAAATACTGCAGTGCGTATTAAAGTCTTTACCTAAATGTTTAGATTGTTGGCGAACCTCCTCATTTTCTTTATTGTCGAGGTTTTTTCTTGCCATCTCAGCCTACCTGGCTCCCTCACTATGGCAAGGGCTAGTTTGTCATAGTGAGACAAGATGAGGTTATTTGATGTATGGGCTTGTTTGGTTGTCTCAATTAGTTTGATTCAAATTTGTGCAGTGTATTTATCTATATTAGGTTACTCATCGAGGTTCTTCTATAGACTTGTACAATGGGCATATTCATTTGGTTGATCTTTGGTCTTTGGTTTGAAATTTTTGGTAGTCTTTGGTTTTTTTTTGTGAGAGGAAAACATTGTTGTTGGATTTGGTTTAAATTTATTGAAAAAAACAACAAGCGAACATGCTAAATGTTCAAAGCACAATAAAATACAATATTAATTAGTATGCCAGTTTTAGTTGTATTAAGCAATGCAGATTTTCACGAAAAGGCACAGTTGATTAGACAAATAAATATAAAATATATTCTCGCCTTCCTTACATCTGCTAAAACATAAAGCCTCTAATAGACCATACAACCATAGAGAAGACTACATGCCCAAATATTATTTAACCAAACATATCTTGCATGTACAGGACAACCAAACATCAAGAAATCGCATATTGCCTTGGATTATGCATTTATGTTGTATAATATCTAATAGAAGCTAAGGCTAATGCAAGCAACTAATCGCCATATATGCCTGTATACTTGACCTTGATCGACTAGGTAGAAAGAAAAATCCTTCTCCGCTCATATATCCTTGACTGGTGAGGCAAAAACTATACAGCCGTCCGTCCCTGTTCATAAATACTTTTCAACAAAATATGATCAGATTAAATATTTAGTTTGAAAATACTAAAGATGTATTTCTCTTAAAATATACTCCATCTTAGAATATATTTACTCCATTCTAAATTGTGAACCGTCTTAAAGTTTGATTAGTTGCCTACATTAACCTACAGCCAACCATGCGCAATGCAGTCTGCCCATGATTTTTTTTATTAGACAATGTAAATTTGAATAAATCGTTGGAAACATAAAATAAAATATGCCATATTCTTTATCTTTAGAGCATCTCCGAGAGTTTCCTACTTTTTTTTCTCCTAAAAACTTGTAGATCGGCAACTCCGGACCAGCCCTTGGCGACGTCGTGCGTCACTGGCTGACCGTGAGTTTAGATCTGAACTCATTTTGAAAATTTCTTAACTCAAAATTGTACAAATAAAAAAGGAAGAAATCAATCTATTCATTCCTCTTCTCAACCGAACCCAGCACTTCAGAATCTAGTAGCAAGATATACAGAAAGAGAAAAGGCAAAGATCACCACCATGAATAATATCATGACCAAATTCATCACGGATCCACCTTGATGATGGTGACCAACCTGGAGGGGGCAGGGGGTCCGGTCTGAGAATCAAGCTGCATCTCGGAAGAGCATCAGCACGGCCGCTCGAGAAAGGGCTGCATCTCCGTAGAGCACCAGCATGGCCGCACGAGAAAGGGGGGCTGCATCTCAGAGGACCAGCGCAGGCCGCGCGAGAAAGGACAGAGGAGAGGAGCGCGACCGGCAGTGTGGAACGGCGGCAGAGGAGGAAGGTGAGGCTGCGCCCGCGCGAGAAAGGACAATGGAGAGGAGCGCGGCGGGCGGTGCGGAACGGCCGCAGAGGAAGGGTACGCAGAGTCGGAGGTGCGCGCGGATTGTCTCGGTTTTTCCTGAGTGTCTAAATTTCAGGGGTTAAGATTAGAAGTCGTTGGAGATAAATTTTTTCTCATCTTTCTAAAAAAAAATAAAGATTAGTTTAGTAAACTCTGGGGATGCTTTTACTATAAATCTGAGAACTCTAATAGAACATATAAGATGACTATATGCAATAAAATATAAACAAACAAACATAATTTTATCATGCAGGACAACAAAACACAAAGACAATTTATATGTTTATGTTGACTTAAATTGTGTTGCTTAAGGTCTAATGCAGACTAAGTATAATATAGGCAACTATAATGTATAGTTAGTTACTTAGAGGTTGCCCTGTTCGCTCGAACTTATTAGTGTTTTTCTGTCACAATAAGCTGGTTTATTTTGGTTTATTTGTCGTACAAACCATCAGACGAACAGCCCACCTAAAACGACTAACAATTTGAAATAGTTGGAATTTAAAAATACATTACAATAGAAAAATAATGATTGAAGGCAACATCCGTGACCATGTCTTGACCGGAGTATGTATGTATTTATGTATAGCTTCAATGGAGTTACCAACGCAAAGAAAAATCTTTCAGCTAGTACGAACACTGTTATTAGCACAGATCAAACAGGCTGCACCATAAAAAGAGTAGTCTTGCAACATGATTCTCCCGGGTTACCACGTTAGGGCAAGATTTACAGACTCCAAGATGTGCAACATAAACTGGCGATAAAAATCAAACACTAACATGGGAACCTAAAAGTAGCCTTGAGACAACCACTCTCATTAAATCGATCTAAGCTCCTTTAACACTCAATTAGTGCTTCTTGGTTCAAAACATTCATTGGTCAAAGTCCGAGGCACCAAAAAAGGAATAATCTGGGTCTGCTGATGATCCTAGCAGAGGAATGTACTCTGAACCTCTCACATGAACACTGAAGCAAGCTGAAACACAAGGATATGCAGAAGTTAAATGTTTCTGAGCATGTAATGACTATCTTTAAAAAAATGCTAGCAATTGAACTAATCAATATCAAATATCAAATATTAAAGAATGCATGGAGTGCAATACTAACAAACTGGAAACACGATAGTATCACGGTATCACAGATATGAATATCTTTCAGAAAAGCAAGCAGAAATATGGACATCTTTCAAAGAAGCTAGCAGGAATGTGGGCATCTTTTTAAAAAAAATATATAGCAGACTAAGGACACCAAATGTTGCATTTCAAATATTTCATATTTGGTTACTAGTCATATTGCAAAAAGAAAAGGTAACATAACAAAAGGTAGTGACTAGGATAACACTAGCCAACAAGAACAGAGTGCAAATATGTTCTCAGAAATTTAAGCATGTGAGGTAACTACATATGGACCATTGAATAATTTAAAACAGCAGAAGACAGAAAGATGTTCAGTGACAAATTATAAACACATTCATGTGGGTAACTCGTGATGTGGAAAAAAAAATTCCTATCATATTGTCAAGTGCTACATTTATAAGACTAAAATCTTTTTCTTCATTGGGCATAATGACTGATTGAGGACACGCGAATTTAGGAAGGCAGCAAGACTAGTACATGTCATGTTTATGTTTTTTCCATCGTACACGTGCACGAGTCTAAAAACATCAAATAAAAAAGAACAGAGACAATTATATATACCACATCTCCTGCTGGGAACAAGCCTCTAAAAGCAGCCATTTCAGGAAATGTGCACAAAAAAAAAAAAATTCACTTAGCTTCTCTTACTAGTATATAAGTCAGCATCAGTACTCAGGTCTTGTATTCCTGGTGATATGGACTAGTGCATATCAAAGAGATCGAAAGCTATATAGTATGCCATGCAATTGAAATCAAAGATATTTTTACGTTTCATCTTTTAGTTGAGGCATGCCTGAAGCTTTCTGGTTGGTTATAGTCTTATAGGAGTGAATAAAAAATATTAACTCTGTCAGGCATCAATCAAATAATACCATTCTCAATTTTTACTACACTTTGCAGCATGACCTCCATTTTCTTCTTCATCTCATTATTGTCATCCATTAGAGGCACCACAAGAGTCAGCTCCCTGTAAATATCACGTACAAAAGCACAGATAGTTTTTGCATATTCAACTTCCCCATCAGATATACGGCCTATTGCGAGCCTCATAAGCTCTCCTGACAAATCAGCAACCTAAGACATGGAAAATGCAGAACTGTTAACGGCTTCAAACAAAACAATATTTATAGACATTGAGAATTGAATTATAGATGTACAGGTGTATTTACCCCTAAAAGATAGTCAAGCACATTTAACTGTAAGGGCTCAACAGATTTATCACTTAGTGCTAGTAAAGAATCATTAATTTCAGCAAGACTTAATAGAGTGCCAGTCTTGCAAAATCTACACAGTGTTGCAGCTTCAACATATTCTTGTACCTGCAATGGTCAAGAGCAAACATATCAGATCTATTACAATTTAGAGTAAAGTGCTCGGGGTTTCATCTACGTCCCTAAACTTAAAAATGTACATCCAGGTCCCTAAACTTACTAACTGTGTCGTGAGGTCCAAATCGCCATAACTTGTGTTAATCCGCCCACGTCCCTAAACTTAAAAATGTACATCCAGGTCCCTAAACTTACTAACTGTGTCGTGAGGTCCAAATCGCCATAACTTGTGTTAATCCGCCCACGTGGCAAGCTGATTACGGGATGATGGGGCACCGACATGTGTGTCCACATGCCGGTAGGGGAGAGAGATGAGACCGGCATGTGGGCTCCACATTTTTGTGCCATGTCATCGTGCAATCAACTTGCCACGCAGGCGATTTGATACTAGTTTTGGTGATTTGGACCTCACACAACACCATTAGTAAGTTTAGGGACCTGAATGTGCATCATGGAAGGACTGGCGGTGCATTTGATTCTACAATTTATAAACAAATGTAGAAGAGTAAGATTGGTACTAACACCAAAGGTGTAGGCTCTTCTGAGCTTCCAGAAGTCAGTTCCTTGTAATTCTTTTACTAGTTTTGCAATGTATTGATTAACCACTGCAGCAAGATCATTTTCTGCCTTGGAGAGAACTTCGTCCCTGTTAACTTTTGTGATTCTGAAACAAATCAACAGTATATGAAGGCATATGAACTCTACAGCAAAGAAACCAGTAAAACAGTTGGACTATTCGGTTATGAAGCCATGATAAAGAAGCTTCTTGGCATGGTATCAGCACTCAACATTTAAGGACACTTGCACATAGCCAACTCATTTGTTACAGCTGATCTTTTTTAGTATAGCATCAAACGATTCACATTCTCACAGGCATTACAATTAACGGAAACATGCTGTGTAGTGAAAGTTGACTTTAAACAGAAATTGATTTTGATCATCAACATGAGAAAAACAAATGATCCAAACAGCTTAACTAATGTATATTTCTTGAATGTACACACAGTAAGACTTAGCAGCATGGGATAGGTTTTTGTAAACCCATGTTTTTACAGTGAGGGAAAAAAATCCAACTGGTATATAGACATACGGAACGGGAACAACTCCAATGATGTGCTGCCACATGTTTAGGTGCTACTGTGTTACCAATGAACGGTAGCACCACTAAAAAGTGCAACAAAAATTTCTATCAGCTATTTGAATGAATAGATCTTATCATCATCTAACATCATGCTAAATTTGAGGTTGAACAAAAACATTTGCAAGGAGAAAAGAAAAAGATAAATCAGCTTGTGAATAGTGGTGAATTGTGGGTTCAGATATGAACAGTTGCACCCTCAAGCTGCAACTATTTACATGCTGATTTCTCTTTCTCCACATGCACAAAATTTTATTCAACCTCAAACTTTGCATGATTGTTGTTGATGATATGATATGTCCATTCACACTTTTTGTAGATTTTTTATGCCAGGTGCTACCATGCAAGTGTGATAACAAGATATACCTATTCATTAACGAGGTTCAGAGTGACCAAGTGACTAGACAATCAGAATCTCTGCCTGCAAAACTTACATAAAGCTTCTTTACTTTTTTTCACATAAAACACTGAAACGCGGACAGTATAATGATTAATACTCAAATTGAGTAATGGCATGGAGAGATCTATGATTCTGAGGATCACAGTCTGCCATTAAAAAGTATGTCCTTTTCTTGTCCTTTTTTTTTGCAAAATATAAAATAATGCAGCAGCACAGTTGCTAAATGTTGAAATCAAGCAGAGGTACAAAGCCCTATACTGCTTACCTGTGGACCTGAAAGATGACCTTTTTGCTGTTCATTGTCACATCCCGACTAGCTTTCACAAGCCTCTCTCTTGTCATTCTACAGTAAACAGAGAGAAAATATAAAAAAAACATTGATAATTTACACAATATTGTCGAACATACTATGTGATAATGATTTCAGATTGTAAAAGGAGGAAAGGATTTGACAAACTATAAAACTAGTGTGACAATGCCAGGTGCTCGAAACACTTTAATCAAATTTAAAGGAGAGCTAACCAAATTTGTAGCATATGGTTGAAGTGGCTTTGAAGAGTTAAAGACTTGGTCTCATATAAATTAAATGCAATTAACTCGGATAAGAGGACATTTGCAGAAGCGGCAATGTTGAAATATATTTTGCAGCCATACGCATGGTCAAGTACAAGTATAATTATAAATCACCTATATTGTGACTCGTCTGTGTGTGAAAACAACATGCTAAACAAAGTTTGACTTCAATCAGGAGATATCATGGCTGACATCGCCTGCAGAATACAGTGTCTCTTGGGAGGAATTTGGTGTCAACTCTAGACGAATAATTGTATCCAGTGAACCATAGTTCTCGCAAAGGTGCTGTATGCCTAACTAAATAGGGGATCGACTGCAGGTTGGCCTGACGCAAATGAATTACGTGCCCGCAAGGTCAGCACACTTGCCTCTCAGAAATATTCTCATTCAACAACATTGATTAACCTGAACTCCAATGTGATCCTGCCAATATCAGTTAAGTGGACGCCTAATCCAAAATCTGGCTTCGTACTAATTCCTCCAAACACCTAGCGCGCGCACATTAGGCCCTGGCAGCTAATTTCTCGCACAACCCTACAAACCTATACGATAACCCCTACTCTTTGAGCGCATCGCGCCTCGAGAAGCGAAAGCTTCGCTTATAACACAAAAGCGGAGGAGCGACACATAAACGGGATCCGTACCAGGGCGTTGAGGTACTCGGCGTGCTTGGCGAACTCAGCCTTCATCGCGGGACAGCCCCTGGAGGCTGGAGGATCCGCCGCCGCCGCGACGTCTGTGGCCATCGCCCTGAACCTCTTGGGCGCCGACCCGGAGAGGGGAGCTGGAGAGAGCAGAGAAGAAAGTGAGTGCGCAGAGAAGGGGGGCGAGGGAGGAGGAGGAGATGGAGATGAAGCAGGAATGAGGTTGGAGTTCAGACATACGCGAAGGACTGGGGCGCAGGAGGGTTTTACCAGGTTGCTGGGGCGCCGCCATGGGGAGGAAGGAGGGGAAGCGCGGGTGGCGGCCGAAGCGGTGGCAGACGCGCAGAAGCACCATCTAGATGGGCTTGGCCCCGTTTTTGGCACCTCGCTTCGGCAGTTGTTTTGGTTTGGCCTTTTGGCCTTTTCGGGTTTTGGTTCAGAAAAATCGCACTTCTCATCCGTGTGATGCCGCCGATTTCTGGGGTTATTTAAAAAATAAATATTTTTCATTCGTTACAACGTTACAAACATAGTACAGAAATTAGAGTGAGAACACCCCAATTGTGAAATTTTTAAGAGCCATTTTCACATTACAACATGGTAACAAGCAAGAGGTAGGGTTCATTCTCTTGCTAATTTGCGACTTTATTCGTAATTTTATTTATCTTCTTTCTGATCTTGATAACCATACAAATTTTGTCTTCTGATTTCCTCAATTTCTACAGAGACTGGCCTTGGAGACTAAGGAACTACTTGGTTTGGAGATTCATCTCACTCGGAATGGATCGGTTTGGTATGGAGTCATTCGAGACTTTTCGAGGAATGACTCCACCCGTCGTTAATGGCGTACGGAAGTTGATAAGTGGAGCCACTCCATGACACACAAATTGATTCCACGACGAACCAAACACCAGCACTTGTCACGGATTGCTTTTATGATGCAAACCAAACAGGCCATAATGGCTTAGAGCTTAACGATAAGAGACAGCCTTAACCATAGATGCAAGGAGCTAAGAATTTGATTGTCTGTTAAGACATTCATCTCTGGCAAAATTGGCTAATCTACAATCTTGACATCAAGTCAAAGTGCATGTCCTTCAACCTCCAACGAGTCCATGGATTGAGGAGGAGCAACCTGCAAAAATGAAGCCAAGCACAAGCTAAAAGGATTAGGACACCAATAGTCGAGTTACTCTGAGTATGAGAATCCTGCAAACATGCAAGCAAACAGAGCCAAAACTCTAAAAAAATTGCAACCATCAACCGCTCGCTTAGATTACGAGGAGGGTAGGACATGAATATATTGCATCTAGGTATACAAGATGAAGTCAAACTTATTCTTTTTTAACAATTTGATTATAGATAACTGGATGATAAAAACCTGACCAAGCTCAGTCTGACTAATACATGGGGTGAGTTCAATCCATAATATTTTCAGCTCATGAAAGGCCCAACTAGTTTTCCCCTCTTTATACTCCTATATAGAGGAGAAGCCCAAATATGTACCAGGCTCGACTGCTCAAGGAACAGCGCGTCGGTATCGCACATGAAATCGAACCGACTCGAACCAAATCCGGCCCAAATATACTAATCCGCCTTCCCCGCATGATCCCGTCGCTGCCTCCGTCCCACGAGGCCACGAGTCACGGGGTCTCTCGACTCGAGCTCTCCCTCCTCCCGTTCCGATCTAAACCCGCCGAAACCCTAACCACCATGGCCGCCGCCATGGGCACCCCCATCCTGACCCTCCCCGCACCGGAGGGCAACGGCACCGGGGGCGGCGACGCCGACCAACAGCTGCAGCTGGTGCCGCCCAAGCCTCCCCCTCCCGGCGCGAAGACGGACCCCCCGGCGACGGTCGCCACGCACACACTCCCCATCGGCATCATCCACCCTCCGCCCGACATCCGCGTCATCATCGAGAAGACGGCTACCTTCGTCGCCAAGAACGGGCCCGAGTTCGAGCGCCGCATCATCTCCCACAACCAGGGCAACGCCAAATTCAACTTCCTCCAGCCCTCGGATCCCTACCACGGCTACTACAAGCACCGCGTTTCCGAGATAGGCGCTGCGCCGGCCGGCGCGGACGCCGCTTCGGGCGCCGAGACTGACGCGGCTCCCGCCGATGCGCCAGCGTCGGCCCCGGCCGACGGCGCCGCCGCCGCCGCACCCGCAGATGGCGCCGCTGCGGACGCGAAGGCCGACCACTCCGCGCCCTTCCGCGTGGCGCCGCCGCCCAAGGTGCTGGTGCCACCCAAGGCGGAGCTGTACACGGTGCGGCTGCCCGAGGGTATCACAGGGGAGGAGCTGGACATCATCAAGCTGACCGCCCAGGTTGTGGCGCGGAACGGGAAGAACTTCCTGACGAGCCTGGCGCAGCGCGAGAGCAACAACATGCAGTTCCACTTCATCCGGCCCACGCACAGCATGTTCCCCTTCTTTACGGCGCTCACAGATGCGTACTCCAGGGTGCTGAGGCCGGCAGAGGGGGTGCCTGCACTGCTAAAGGAGCTGAGGGAGGGGTCAAAGGACCTGACTACGGTTTTGGAGAGATGCCTGAACCGGCTGGAGTGGGATCGGTCGCAGGACCAGGCACGGCAGCAGGCAGAGGATGAGATTGAGCAGGAACGGATGCAGATGTCAATGATTGACTGGCATGATTTTGTTGTTGTGGAGACCATTGAATTTGCGGATGATGAGTACGAGGGGCTTCCTGTGCCACTTACACTTGAGGAGTTGAAGCGCCAGAAGAGGATGGAGAACTTGGGAGAGGAGGAAGCGATGGATATGGCTGAACCTGCTAAGGAGGTTGAGATGGACATGGATGAAGAGGAGATGCAACTTGTTGAGGAAGGAATGCGGGCAGCACAGCTTGAGGAGAATGATGGAGCGCAAGTTCACGTGGCTGGTGATGACGACGCACCTATGAGGATTGTCAAGAACTACAAGAGGCCTGAGGAGAGGATTCCTGCAGAGAGAGACCCAACCAAGTTTGTTGTCTCGCCGATAACTGGGGAGCTCATTCCCATCAGCGAGATGGAGGAACACATGCGCATCTCACTCATTGACCCTAAGTACAAGGAGCAGAAAGAGAGGATGTTGGCCAAGATCAAGGAGACTACCCTTGCACCTGATGATGAAATTTCACGGAACATTGTTGGCCTTGCTCGCACTCGCCCTGATATTTTTGGGACCACTGAGGAGGAGGTGTCTAACGCCGTCAAGGCAGAAATCGAGAAGAAAAAGGATGAGCAGCCAAAGCAGGTTATTTGGGATGGTCATTCTGGTAGCATTGGTCGCACTGCTACTCATGCATTATCTCAGCCTCAGGGTGGCGAGGAACAGTTTGATGCTTCAAATGTTCCTGGTCCAGCTCCACTTGTCCGACCTGGCATGCCATTGCCCCGACCTCCTCAGCCACTTCCTCTTGTTAATGTTCCTCGTTTTATCGCTCCACCAGCACCATACTCTGTTCCACCCCCAGGTCCTCATATGCCTGGAGTTCCACAGATGATGCCTCACATGCATCTGCCTCCACAGCAGATACCTGGGCAGCCACCGATGGTTAGGATGCCAGGTCAAATGGTTCATATGCCGACCAACATTCCTCCGCCTCCTGGCCAAACTCAGTTTATGCCTGGTCCACCACGCACGTTTGCTATGCCCCCATCATCGCACATGCCAACCATGGTCAATCCCATTGGAATCCCTCAGCCTCCAGCCCCGCCTCTGCCTCCGCAGCCTCCTGCTGAAGAGCAACCGCCTCCACCTGATGAACCGGAACCTAAGAGGCCGAGAACAGATGATGCTTCTCTTATCCCAGCGGAGCAGTTCCTTGCTCAGCATCCGGTAATGGCTCTGGGAGTCCATTTTTCTTTAGTCTTTCTTCCTTACTTCTCAGTTTTCATGCTTCTAGGTATTTTTGTTATGTGGCAAGCTAATATAATCTGTTCATCTGTTGCATGCAGGGTCCTGTTAGCATCTCTGTATCTGTACCCAACCTCGATGAAGGGAACTTGCGAGGCCAAGTTTTGCAGATTCCTGTTCAATCACTGTCAGACACAGTTGGTAGTCTGAAGGAGCAGATTGCTGGAGAGTTGCAGCTCCCTGCTAATAAGCAGAAGCTGAGTGTGAGGACTAGTTTCCTCAAAGACAACCTTACTCTTGCTTACTACAATGTGGGTCCTGGAGTGGTGATCAATCTAACACTGAGGGAGCGTGGTGGGAGAAAGAAATGAGTAAATGAGTCTTTTGGTTCTCAATGTAACTATACATCAGCAGCTATCATGGAGAACCTTTTTGCTGGATCTTGCTGCCGTACCTTTCATATTATTTTCTTTTGTATGCTAAGTGCAATCATTTGTGTTATGTGAACGGCGTACTTTCCTCTATATCTTGATACAGTTAAATGCTGTGAGGGGTTCTGCCTAGTATGTTACTTGAGGTTGCTACTGGATACCTACTTGGCCACTTAATGTTAAATCGTATGGCTGCTCTAGCTTCTTTTGCTTGGTCTTTGAGAGACAACCTCTCTATATTAAGAGTGCAGATTTTTATTTTCTATTCAACGCTATTTTTTTCCTCGTCTTATGGGTGTACATGTTATTTGTAGATTCTTCTGTACAACATTGATGATGGTACTTTTTGTTCGGTGGTTATTTTGAAAGGTTTGGACTGATGACTGTTCTTTTAGTTTTTTTTTTCATTGTGTATGATGCCACTGATTATTGAAAATACTTTTTGACAGAATGGCTTGGAATACATTGTGTCACAACTGATGAAATATCCGAAGTAGGAATTATTTTTGTTTGTATATAAGCTGGAATATCTGAAGTAGGAATTATTTTTGTTTGTTATACACATTCTCTGGTTGTTTCCTTGTGCTATTGAACTGAGCTATCCTGCAGAGAAGATTGTTGTATGCTAACCAAGTTTGTTGTACCGTATGTTCTCACAAGTCACTGGTGGGGTTTTTTTATTTTGGCGAGCTACATGCGACTTTCCACTATACGAGCTATTATTCATTCGTATGGCTATGGCATTATGTTTGTTCATCCTTACTTTTGTTGCTGTTCTGGTAGCGATGCAGAAAATGCATGTCGAAATCGAATGTGTTTATTCGATCAACCGTCTACTTTAGGTGCACAGGTTAGATTTGTTCTTAATTTGAAATGTGTCTACTTTAGGTGCACAGGTTAGATTTGTTCTCAATTTGAAATGTAACACATGTTGGTTTCTGAGCGGAAAGAAAAATACTTCTTCCATTCCAGATATAAGAAGTCGCTTCGTGTCAATTTGGCCTTCAACTGTCTGTATTTCTGTTTGAACCCCGTAGAGGCTGTTAAGATTGGTGTAAGTAGGGCCTGTTTGATCACATTTAGCCTAAATTGGCTAACAATTGGTTGAAGCCTTGTTTAAAAAATTAGCCACCTATTAGTCTGTCATACACGTACATGCCCTGGGATCATACTGCCAGGTGGGCCAGTCTATCACATATGCTCCTTTGTATTAGACTGCCATGTGGGGCCAACCTTTGGGAAAGAGAAGAGCTACAAAAGAGGATCAGGCAGCAGAGGAGATGCATCGCACAAATTATTCAGAAAAGAGTACTCGGGTAAGGAGCTAGCTATCTGAGATCTTCTGTAATCGTCTGTTCCTACTCACGTCGTCGGATTGATCTCACCGACGGCCACGGGTTGTGACATAGTCCTTCCTGGATGCGCTAGGACTAATTTTAGTTAGCTACTAATTAGCTCTTGTATTAACTAAGGCCCATAAATTAGTCACTAAGCATTAAATTAAATAATCTGTTTAATATAATGTCCCATGTAATCAATGAACATATGTATTCGTTCTAGGTGTCTATTCACCATGTATAACAATCCAACATCAGTAAATGGAAAATACAGCTCAATCATTATATTTTCTGTTCTTGTTCTGTTTACATTCAAACACATTACCAACACTATTACTCTCTCTTGAGTTCACTAACGACAGGTGCAAGAGCAACTTGGAAATCAAGTTTTCTATTGAGGTGGTGTTTAAATCCAGGGACTAAGTTTAGAGGTGTCACATGGAAGTGTTCAGATATATAGTAGTAATAAAACAAATTACATAAGTCCTCGGTAATCCACGAGACGAATAGCAACACATTATCAAATCGTAGACTAATTAGGCTTAAAAAAATTCGTCTCACAAAATAGTCGCAATCTGTACCATTGGTTATTTTTTTTAGTCTATATTTAATACTCTATGTATTTTTTTTAGTCTATATTTAATACTCTATGTATGTGTCCAAACATATGATATGATAGAGACTAAAGTTTAGAGGGCAAGCCTGTTCAAGAGGAACTCGCCAATAACAGAAGAGAACTTGATAAGAACGAAGAAACAGCCTGTTCGTTTGTTGGTTTCAGCCAGAATTTATTAGCCAGCCAATAGTATTTTCTTCTCCTAATAAACCAGCACCGACCGCACAAAAAAAACAACCAGCGAACAAGGGCCGAAAGAAGGGTCTCATCTCAATCTGATGAACCACCATGGATGAGACCTAACTACATTGAATACGTCATAATTCGCTGGCTGCCCCTGTCTCCACAGCGACCACAGGACTCCACGCCCCCATCTGCGTGCACAGTTCACTGTTACCGCCGTCTTCACGCTAGAGGTCAAGAGGATGCCCTGCTCCCTCTACCTCCAGGTCTCCACCGACCGCCACGAGCCCGTCTAGCCTTCGGCCTCCGCCTCAATGTACGCAAGCATCTGACAGTGGGGCATGCTTGTATGCATGGCAGAGATGGCGTTGATTTTACAATTGTTTCATGGATCTTACAATATACATCCTCTTCCCCGGGCGATACATCCTCTTCCCCGGGCGATTGAAGGACCCCCCCCCCCCACACACACACACACACATACACGAGTGCCGGAGTGCGCCTTCCTACTAATAACAAATGGTAATACAAGACTGGGAGGCTGGTCTTGTGTCTCAGTACGCAAGCGAGTCCTCTTCGTTCTGCGGGTTCTCAAGGGCAGTGACGTGATCCTTGAAACGAGCCGCGGCTTCCTCCCTCTCGTCAAGCTTGCCGAGATGGTTGTATGCCATTGCCTTCAGATAGTACGCCTCTGCTGCCATCTCGTGATACTGCATATGACACAGGGTTTAGTGTATCTGATGTCACAAGCCTTTATGCAATTAGCACAGCCGCACAGGATGTCACTTTGTAAGCAACATCTTGTGAGTCAGCCAAGGCCCAAGCGGTAAAGAGCACAAGCTGGATTCATCAGCTCACCTCTAATGCTTGCAGGTCTTCAGTGGCTTGGTTCAGAGGATCCAGAACAGCTTCAGGATCTTCGAGAACTGCAATAATACGACAGTAAAGGGAAGAAGTAACAAAAGAAAGAACCACGTCCAGTTTCGAGAAGCAGTTAGCATCTAGGTGTATGTATCGAGCAGATCAATATGAGGTTGTCGACATAATGGAACACGAAGTATTGCAAAGTACCTGAGAATTTTGGATCGGCTAAATGGCACTTGGCTAAAACAATGTGAGCTCGAGTGCGTAGCTCAAGTCCACCATGACCAAGAATCATGGGAAGGCTCTGGTAGATCAGACTCAGTGCCTTCTTTGCATGGCTTGATCCAAGAGCCAGCCACAACTCAGCAAGAGTAAGTGTAGCTGAGGCTTCAAGCAGATCCAAGTTGAATGATTTGCAGAATGATTGGCTGGCTAACGCATAAGGAAGCGCAAGGACTGCATTGTCAGATTTTTTTCTCGAACACGCAGGAGAGCTGCGTATCAATATATTAAGAAGAAAAAAGGGTAAAGCACCCAGGTAGTACACTGGTTTTTTTTGAAAGGAGAGAAAACCAGACAAAAAAACTCCAACAAAAACACACACGCTAGATCACCTATTACATCCAGGAACTACCCATGACCAGGAAAAAAAGATCAACTAGGAGGCTGCAGGGCGAGGAGTTGAGAAATGCCTCGAGCCCCAGCCATATCCCACATGTATAGATCAACCCTGATAGAACGGAGCAAACCATACAGCTCAGGTTGCTGTCCATCAAACACACAGCGGTTCCTGTGATTCCAGATGGCCCAAGCCACCAGGATAACCAAGGAGTTCAGGCCTTGCTTTACAAGATCAGTCACCCTAGTGTTCACCTGTTCCCACCACACATCAAATAGCAGGTCCCCAGGTTGTGGGGCAAGACACTGCAGTCCAAATTGCTGGAAGACAATGAACCAAACTTGGCGCGAGAACACACAGGAAACAAGCAGGTGATTAATCGTCTCCTCCTCTTGATCACATAATGGACATTGCTCTGGATGCGGCAATCCCTTCCTAGCAAGTCTATCAGCCGTCCAGCATTTGTTATGGGCAACCAGCCACATAAAGAACCGGCACTTTCCAGGCGCCCAGCTCCTCCAGATTCTTTCCCAGGGTTTGAAATGAGTGGCCCCTATGAACATTGCTTCATAAGCCGACTTAGCTGAGTACTTTCCTGTGGAAGAGAACCTCCAAATGTGAGAATCATCCACTTCCGGCTGTAGCACCACCTCAGCCAGCAAGTCCCAAAGATCGAGAAATTCAGTCAAAACACCCACAGTGCGGGCACCTCTTATGTCTGCAACCCATCTACCATCAGTAAGAGCGTCATACACTGTTCTTTTCTTTGCACGGCTAGAGACAGAGTTGAACAAGAGTGGAGCAAGCATTTCAAGACTCTGTCCATGTAGCCATTTATCAGTCCAAAAAAGTGTATTCTTACCATTGCCGACCTCAGAAGATATGGCTGCTGAGAAAAAGGTTCTGACAGAGTGATGCACTTGAATGGGAAAAAAATTCCATGGTTTGTCAGGCTCAGTTTTGAGCAACCAGAGCCACCTCATTCTGAGTGCCCACCCTAGCTGTTGTAATTGTGAAATACCAAGCCCCCCCAATTCCAGAGGACGGGTTACCTTGGGCCAGGCAACCAAACAGTGACCACCCCTCACATCTTTTCTTCCCTTCCACAAGAAACCCCTTCTGATCTTATCAACTGCTTTCAAAGCCCAGGAAGGAAGATCCAGGGCCATTGCCAGATATATTAACATAGAGGTGAGAACAAATTGTACCAAAATTTTCCTACCAGCTTTAGTGAGCAGGTCAGCTTTCCATCCTGGCAATCTGTCAGCAATTTTATCAATGATAGGGTGGACTTGGGCTCTTGTCAGCTTGTGTGGAGAGAGAGGCACTCCCAGATATTTGCAAGGAAATTCAGAAATCTGGCAGGGGAGATGCGCAAGCAGGACTGCACGGTCCTCTTCCGAACACTGAATGGGAAGGACATTACTTTTCTGTATATTGGTTCGGAGTCCAGAAGCCTCCCCAAAAAGCTGCAGCAAATCTAGGGTGATTCTGATGTCACTCACCGAGGGTCGAAGGAAAATGACCACGTCATCAGCATATAAGGAGATCCGGTGTTGTATATTCCTTCTAGCCAGGGGTTGGAGAAGTTCTTCTTCAGCTGCTTTCTGAAACAAAAGACAGAGAACATCCATGGCCAATATAAAGAGCATTGGGGAGAGCGGGTCTCCTTGTCTTAAGCCCCGGCGATGTTTAATTCTCTCCCCAGGAGAGCCATTCAACAGGATCTGAGTGGATGAAGAGGCTAACAGCCCACTGATGATGTCACACCAAACAGACCCAAAACCCACGTGCTGCAACACTTCCAAAATAAAAGGCCAGGAAACTGAATCGAAAGCTTTAGTGATGTCCAACTTTAGGAGAATGCGAGCCTGTTTTTGCTGATGTAGATACTTTGTAGTGTGCTGAACCAACATGAAGTTATCCAAGATGAATCTACCCTTGATAAAAGCACTTTGGTTTGGTGTGATCAAGCGATCCAAACGACCAGCAAGCCTATTAGCGAGCAACTTTGTTATGAGTTTGGCAAAGGAATGCACCAAGCTTATTGGTCTGTAGTCCCTGATGCTCGTGACATCATCTTTTTTTGGTAAGAGAGTGATGAAGGCAGAGTTGAGAAGCTCAAAATTGTTGAAATTCCTGCTCCAAACAGCTGAAGCTGCTGCCATAATATCTTGCTTAATTATAGGCCAGCAGACTTTGTAAAACTTTCCGGTGAAACCGTCGGGGCCTGGGGCCTTGTCAGGAGGCAAGGAACTGATAGTTTTCCAAACTTCCTCCTCAGAGAAAGGATCATCTAGCTCGGATAGGTCAAGATTTGGTGCATTTAGTGCTTCCAAGTTTACTGTAACACCCCGATCCAGATTTTCACCCAAGAGAGTACTATAGAAATTGAAGATATTCTGCTCCTCCTCATGTTTTGTGAGAACCAAACCGTCATCAGTTGTGAGCTTGTATATGAAATTTTTCCTCATCCGATGCCTAGCATGGGAGTGAAACATGGCTGTGTTGGCATCGCCCTCACGAGCCATGAGATCTTGAGATCGGCAAGCAAGAATGAATGGTGCTGCCGCAGAGGGCAGAGAGTGCCGAGAGAGTGTGGCTTGAGTTTGTTACGCAACCAGAGCTCCAGGCCAGAGAGGGCTCGATGGTCTTGAGCAATTTCAAGCTGGTGCAAAATCTCTCTGGCCAGCCCCAATTGAGTGTTGACATGCCCCACTTTTTTCTGGCTCCAACTTTGTAATCTTCTGACAGTAGCTCTGAATTTTCTTGCCAGGGTGTCGAATGGGCAGCAGGAGGCGCCCATCAAGTCCAAGCAGGTCTCATTGCATCCACGAAACCCCTCAAGTTTGCACGGAAGGATTTGAAATGAAATCTTGCCTTGCGAGGTTGAACATCATGCAAACCCGTAAGGAGGGGCAATGATCGAGCCATCGAGGCGCCGCTCTGCAGAAAGACAGTTTGGAAACAGGTTTTCCCACTCTGAGGAACAAAACACTCTATCTAGCTTGACAAGCGTAGGGGATTCTTGCTGATTTGACCATGTAAATTTTCGACCTTGCAAGGGCAGCTCTTTTAACTCCAATTCATTGATTAGACGGCGAAATCTGCCCATCATTGCTCTATTAAGAATCCCATTGTTTTTGTCTTCAGCATTTGTGATGAGATTAAAATCCCCAAGAACAGACCAGGGTCCTTGACAAGCAAATCTCACATTTCTTAATTCTTGTAAAAAGAGTATTTTCCTCTCATCACCTTGAGGCCCATATACACAAGTAAGCCACCAAGGTTGCAGGCCAGCAGGGGAGAACTGCACAGAAATACTGTGTTCATCAACACGACTGGCAGTGGCCGGGCCAAGATCCTGCCTCCATGCCAGAAGGATTCCTCCACTTGCACCAACAGCCGGCAAAACGACCCAATGAGAAAAAACCGAGCCCAACATTGAAAGAATGACGCCCTGAGAAATTACCGGCATTTTTGTCTCTTGTAAGCAAACAAAGTCAACACGAGAGGAATTCACTAGCGTACGCACTGCATCTTGGCGAGCCCTCGAATTGAGGCCGCGAACATTCCAGCAGAGGATGTTTGAAGGATTCATTATGTTATGAAGAAGGGAAATCGACCAGACGAGAGAGAACAAAATCAGATAACGACTGGCAACACAGCCTCCCCACTATCAGGAATGGTCTCTACTTCCCCCACATCCGGGGTTGCCCAACCAAAAAGAGCCGCTAAGGCCTGAACATGAGATTCTGGGAGAGGTTGACCAAACAACTTGCCATAAGCATCCAGAACATCTTGATGAATACCATCATTTTCATTGACGACGTTCAGGACTGTCATAACTCTTTTCCTGTACCTGGTGGGAACAGCTCCGGATGGTGACTCTGGCCCAACACCCGCAATTCTCCTACTTCTTCGTGGTGGGGCAGCAAACGTGTGAGACCGGGCTCTTGGCTTCGGGGCGCGCGGAGTAGGAAGGATTTTTTCAATCCGTTTAGAGATTTTCTTCATGAACCTTGATCTGCGCCTCGACGGAGACTCAAGGATGGCCTTACCCATTTGGGAGACTGCGTGTGGCAAAGAGGCGGAGTTTCACCATGACCTCAACACACCCGGGACCAAGGCGAGAGGTCCGGCATGAGTCACTGCCAAGACATCAACGCCACGCCCGGCCAAGGCTTCCACGCTTGCTGGGAGAGGTTCTCGAAGCGGAGCCATGCCACGCACGCCCCCCCCCCACGAAGGATTCATTATGTTATGAAGAAGGGAAATCGACCAGACGAGAGAGAACAAAATCAGATAACGACTGGCAACACAGCCTCCCCACTATCAGGAATGGTCTCTACTTCCCCCACATCCGGGTTGCCCAACCAAAAAAAAGAGCCGCTAAGGCCCTGAACATGAGATTCTGGGAGAGGTTGACCAAACAACTTGCCATAAGCATCCAGAACATCTTGATGAATACCATCATTTTCATTGACGACGTTCAGGACTGTCATAACTCTTTTTTCCTGCACAGGTGGGAACAGCTCCGGATGGTGACTCGCCCACACACATGCAATTCTCCTACTTCTTCGTGGTGGGGCAAAGCAAGCGTGTGAGACCGGGCTCTTGGCTTCGGGTAGCTGGAGTAGGAAGGATTTTTTCAATCCGTTTAGAGATTTTCTTCATGAACCTTGATCTGCGCCTCGACGGAGACTCAAGGATGGCCTTGTTGTTGGGAGACTGCGTGTGGCGTGAAGCGGAGTTTCAACCATGACCTCAACACACCGGGACCAAAGGCAGAGGTCCGGTCTTGAGTCACGCCCAAAGACATCAACGCCGCCCGCCCCGCCAAGGCTTCCACGCTTGCCGGAGAGGTTACAGAAGCGGAGCCAGCGCCACGCCGCCCCCCCCCGCGCCGCCGCCGCCGCCTTCCCGAATAGGTCTTCACAGAGAAGTGACCCCGCCCGCCAAGACGCATACAGGCATCTGAGGCGCTGAGTCGGCAATGAAGAAGATCGTGCGAAGAGCTCATTGCCGCCAAAGACCGAGAGCTGGGTTGGAGCTTCATCCAGAGATGGAGAAGCAAGGAGCCCCGCTCCATCGATGACTGAGACGTCGTCGGGCCGGTGGTCGGGACCCCTCGAGGAATGTGGGCACAGCGGTGGGCGGCAGCCGGCCCCCGGAGATCGGGCCGTGAGTGCCATCCTTAGCCCACCATGTGTCGTTCTTTGAGATTTTCATCCAACGAACCGACGAGGCGGGACCGACCTCCGACAACCGAGCGGAAATCCCCGGCGTGTGAGGGATCAAATCTTCGTTCGCCAATCGGGCAAAAAGACCAAGGTCTGCCGGATCATCATCAATGGCCACCGGCAGGCGAAGCGGCGAGAGACTTGAAGGCGCCGCGTCGCGCCTCGGGCTCCACAGGAAGAAGCCGCCGCGTCGCGCCTCGGCAGCAGTGAGTTAAGCGCCATCAATCGGATCCTCGACTTTCGCCCTTGGTCTACAACAACCACCGGGCGGTATACCAATCGCCGATGCATGTGGGGACCGCGGGCACCACCGGAGGCACAGACCCAAGGGCGGCGGACTTGGCGGCGAGGCAGGGCTTGACGTGGCGCGGCGCCGACGCCTCCCTTGGTCGGAGTCGTCGTGCAGTGAGGAGGCGTAAGGCGGATCGTCTTCCATCCCAAGCGAAGTCGACGCGAAACCGCAATCTTGATTTCATACCTTAACGCACGCTTCACCGGCGGAAAATCTTCAACTTGTATCGGGGGCTCAACAATGTCCAAGTCCAAAGTCGTCGGGATGAGTTCCGGCTGAGAACACCAAGCCTTCAAGCGGAAAACCGAATAGTCCTTGCGATCAATCGTAGCAGGATGGAGCTCGCGCACCCAGCCCCACTCGTCCAGAAGATGTTCTCGCCGTCTCCGGTTCCCATGCATATGCGGTATACCCTCACTCAATGTCAACAAGCGAGGGCAAAGACCATCGCAGACGCACCCTTGAACCGAGACCAGCGCCGGAAGAACAGGGTGAACAGAGGCAAGTGAAGAGGCCTTCCTTCATTGTAGACTCGGACAGCAGAAGCTTCATCGGGGAGGATCAGCAGACCATCTTCACGGCTCAGACTGTGAAACTCCAGCGACTCGATCGGGAGTTCATGGCGGCGAGCTAACTCATCAACCGTAAGCGTCAACCGAAAAGAGTCGCGGTGTCTCCAACAATCGAGACCGAGAGCGCATGCGAAGTTCATCTTGATACCGGACATCTTAAATTTGAACGATCAATGACACGACGAGGCGGCAGAGCATCACCGGAGGCGGTCGGAGCATGATCGCAAGCGGCAGACACGTTATTCTCTTCATCTTCCGCCGACGGACCGCCCGAGCAGCAATGACCTTGAACGGCGCGCGCTCGACTCGGCGATGACGTCTCGTCCAGCGTTCGAACACCGCCGCCCCCACCGCCCGGAGCCCCCATCGTCAGGCGCAGCTGTTGAGGACACCATCTTCATAGACTTCGAGTCTCCCAGCGTGGACTTAGGACGCCACATGAGGAGAGCCCGAGGAGCTGCCGCGTGTAGAGCCTGGCCACGGCCACCACAGACGGACGCACGGTGGCCAATCGCCCGGCACCTGAAGCAGCGAGGCCCCTTCAAGCAGGAGGCCGCACGGTGAGACGGGGAGAGACAATTGAAACACCAGGATCATAAAAGGTCTTGTTTTTATAGACGATAGAACTATAGAACAAACAGTGATGTACAGACCCTGCTGTTTCTAATATAAATAGACTTAAGACTGATAATTCCTGGTACCAGATAAAATATGAATCAACAGTGCCCACAATGAGTCGAGCGCTTTTAAATTGTTCATCAAGTATCTGCTCTTTCTTAGTTGCAAGACACTTGTTTGGAGCTTATCTAACCCACCCTTTTGCCATAATACAACACTGTACAAGCGGGAAAATTCGGTATGACAAACCACTATGAAAACTGAACCCTGACATTCACAGAAAAATAGATATGTACCTCCCATAGTGCTCCCAAGCGGTGGCTCTCAGCAAATATGCTGAGCCAGCTAATTGCAATATTGGTGCAGGTACTGGACTTGGTTGTGCATGATAATGGAAATTGTCGAAGTCATTAATATGTAATTTCTTGGTGTTCTTAGAACTTCTACGCCATGAATCAGAAGTGGCGGATAGATTCCTAAGCCATGAAGTGCTAAAACTACCATTATCATTTGAAGCAGATAGAACATCTGCTCCAAAGTCAGTCAACACATGGGAACCTAATCTTAAATTCTGCCAAAAAAGAAGCACGAGAAACTATGAATACTTTAATATAGAAGCAAACTTATACAGCTGCTCTGAAGGATGAGCATAAAATGTTTTGGAGTAAATGCATCATACCTTAATGACATCTGCAGGACATGTTCTAAGCTTTGTAGATGCATTAGGGCCAAAAGAGACTAGTGGCCTTTGGACATGCTGACAAACCAAGGAAGAAAAGGTTCATAAACAAGGATGCTCTGAGTTGAAGCACATGAGTCTGTTCTTAAGTCACATCTAGTCTTTTCAAGATCAAAATGACAGATGCCATAGTAACAGTAATATAAATGCAATGATCACTACACTGTAATGTTCAAATGTTGACATAACTATGACAGGAGATCTGCATGGGAGGATAAGCAGAGAAATTTGAACATGACTAGGTAAAGAGATCTTCCTAAATCCTAATGTCAAACAGTAATAAATAGTAAATACTAGTAGCAGAATTTTTTTCCCCTCAAGCACACAGCAGAGTTGTGTATCAATGTATCATTATACTAAAAAGAAAAAAGGGTAGATATCATACCTTCAGATCAAATTTTGCCAGCGAAAGGTGATCAAAGGATAGTAAACTTGGAAGTTTCAATGCATCAGCTCTCTTGAGTGACCGCTTTAAAAGAACAAGTAACTGTTGCTGAATGGATAATGGTGTGCCCAGTCCAATATTGGTCCCAAGTGAATATGGAGAACTGATTATTCCAACTGTGTTTGAGATGCCTATCTTTGATAATAGATTGGAAATGGCTCCTAATACATAGGCAAGGCATGAATCATCATTATTCTGAAAAAACAAAATGCTAGAATCTGTTAACACAATTGAAGACCACCTGTTAGTCTGTGTAAACATTTAACATTTTTGGGAAATAAAATACACTTCACTTTTGTTCAAAAATATGCACAAGATCTTATACCAAGTATCCCTAATTTTAGGGATCTGAACATTAGGAAAACCGGAATCTAATGAACCAAGGGGCTTGCACAAGAGGCAATTAGATTAAAAACTTATAGAGATCCATCAGGTCACCTTGGCAATTCCAGGTCCAGGAAACATAAAGGTGGGAATATACATTTAGGTTAAGAAACGGGTAGGACAAAACTGAAAACTCGATGACAAGGAATGTATTTTCAAAGTTATGCTACTATCACAACATGTTGGTGTCAAATTTCTGGAAAACTGATGAGATTTTATCATGCTATCAGGTGACATAATTTTATTTAAAGAAATTTGTTATGCAAATTTAAAAATAAACATGGAGATTAAAAATATAATTTTGTGAGGAAAAATCTGGCTGAACTATAGGAAAATCCAAAACACTCTGCCAGAATCATCTTAGCAATAGCAAAATTACGCCTTCCTCATAAACCATTAGTGGTTCAATACAAACTTAATTTCAAGTGTCATACAAATATTGGATGCAATCATATTTCAAAAAGATAAGAAATCAGTAACTTACCATTTGAGAAACACGGACTGCTTCTGTAAATGCCTGGTAAAAAGCAACCAAGCAGAACATAAACAATGTGCAATGAAACAAGTAGGTCTAGGAAGTGATGGTCTAATAGTACAACACAAGAAAACTAAATAAATTACACTACCTCTAGGGCTTTCTTAGGATGTCCAAAGTAACAATGCAAGTTGCCTAAGCATAGCAGAGCACTCTCATACTTTCCAACAACAATATCTTGCACCTGAGACACAGAACGACCAAAAAGTCCTTGCATCCCTGCACTGCATCAACCAGATAGAATAACCAAATAAGAACATGCTTAACAAGAGGTGCATATGTTTCCAACGAAAGTTCATACAAAACATGTCATTATGACAAACACTTAACTTGAAGAGGAAAAATACTAGAGGATTTAGCTAGCAAGGCCACCAAAATGTTTAATATTATTGAGAAAAAATGAACTAGTAGGAAATAAAAGAGTCACAATATCTAATGAATAGTCCTGCGGTGGTTTCACCTCACACCTGTGCTTTCATGATCTAGCAGATTAGCACAAGGTCAGGCTGAATATCAGGACCCTGTAACTTGTATTATCACAATTTATGCTAATACAGAAAGTAACAGAGATTGAGGTAAATAGAAAGAGCAACATTCTTAAATGCAAACAGAAAGGCCATGTAGTACATTAAAACACTTCCTTAATTTGGTACCTATAACTGGTATACTTGTACATAACTACAGAGAACATGGTTAAAATATGAGACATAGTCCACCATACAGTAAGGGCAGTGCAGCTGACCTGTAATCAAAGTAGCGGTGAAGATTATCCAGTGAAGCAACATAGTCATCATGGCAAAGGGCATTCAAGTACTGCAAGAATTGGACCTGGCAAGCAAAACATGGATGCAAAAATTCACATGATTAGGAAACATTCATAGTTCCCCAAAGTCTCCTAGAAAATTTAAGGTGTATTCACTGTGCAATAACTTACATGATGAAGCTCCGGAGCTAATGTTTGAAGCTGTGTCATAGTGGCATTAAATGAATTCAAAGGCACTGAGCCAGGATCCCTGTAATAATAGAGTTGTCACTAAAGAGAATGTTTTATCTTTCATGTCCTTTTAAAGGAGTAGAACAAGTTTGTGGCAGTATTAGTTATTTATGACTAAATGTAGGAACAGATACTCACTTCTCAAGAATATCGGCTTGTTGGTTAAGATATGCCTCTAATTGCCACCTTGATCTCAGACAGGTTGGGTTGTCATCCGCTTTAAAAATATTAGCTAGCATAGAAAAAAGGAAATGCAAACATAACTGTCAACCAAAAAACTATTTGATGCCCAGATAAGACCAAAATAACTCTACAAAGTGATATTACATACAGTAAAGAAAAGCTGATTTATAAAGCAAAAAACCATTATCCTAATCTATTTGGTGTTCGAATCAGCCTCCTTTGCAAAATAAAAGGTAAGGTTGCCCAAAAATTCCCTCCCTCAGAATCCACAATATGTAGGAACTTTCAGAACTCAGTATGCCCTAATGTATTTAGTAATACATACCGATTGACTAGCATGAGTTAAAAACGAAAGATCAAAATTGTACAAAAAAATATATATAAGCAAATGCTCCACTTCTTCAGCAGTACAATGGTATTTGAGAGAGAAACATGGCACTGGCAGTGAATGATGTAGACCAAACAATGGCAGTGAATGCTGTAGGCCAAACAATTATATAATTATGACATAAAAGTAAGATGGAACAGTAATCCAGCTAGATGCAAGGCAAACTGTCTGTGCTAGCCTGCAATTCTCTAGTGTCTGATGCCAAAGTTGTAACAAATCAGGAGGTAATCTCGTCAAGCTTGGAATTAAAATAAAATAGTTGAAAAAGATACTGTTTCTTAGAATCGGTACAAATTCAGGCAGTGGATAGCCCTTCCCAAGATCCATATGACAGCCCAAAAAAGGAAGAAACTAACTAGATGTCAGGAAAAAAACTGAGATAAATAGTCCATCCAGGTTGTGACCATCACTTTTCTTTTCATTCTGGAGTTTGACCAGATTTTTTTTTTGTGCTTCATACCATTTCTTTTTTGGCATATTTAATACTTCCATCAAAATCAAAGCAGCAAACATGGCAGGGTTCAGGTATACCATCATCAAAATCATAGGTTGACGTTGGTGCACGAGTTAGAGCTGAAGAACTCTCCCCCATATGACGCTCAGAGGCATAACCCTGATGAAATTTGTCAAATATACCAACTTGAGAACCTATGTCTGCATCCATCAAGTTGCCCATTTCACTATTGAAGTCCTCATCTTCCGCCAAGTCATATGAAGCATCAGTGGAGTTACAGTACATGACAAGATCTGCCAAAAGATGGCATACACAAATTTTCAGTGGACAACATCAGCATCTTAAATAAGAAAAAGGGACCAACACGTGATGAAAAGATCATCGTGAATGCCTTTTACTACTCTTAGCACCTCGAAGGTCATTGAGTTGAAGGCAAGTATGCAGCAACGAAGAAAAACTCCAAGTTGACTATTCGGATCCAAAAATACGTCTTCTGCACTCGCACCCTCTGGTGCAGTGAGCACACCTGGCAAAAAAGAAATATCATTACAGAGCAAGCTGTCAATTTGAATGCATCTCTATGATGGAAACATAAATAAGTCAAAAACATCCATCCATTGCCACATCATGTGAACCTCACCTCGTCATCAGGTGAGTTGAGCGCTGACAGAGAACTTGTCAGCTGCTCGCAGAACCAACCATTAGCCAAATTATCCACTGCCTTCAGCTGCCTCAAAAATTCTTCCAGTGGAGGCTCCTGAAAATCCTCGCATGACTACAAAATTACTGAGTTAAGAGGACCTGTGTACCTACCACAATATCAAGTGCAACATTGCCTGACTGTGCACGCTGTGACAACCATCTATACATAACCAGACATCACATCGCTGTTTTGATTATTTTGCTTGAGCCTAAATGGTAGACGGTTGAGCACAAGTGCAGATGCTACGGGGTAAAACAAAATCATGGGACCATTGCCTAAATCCTCGAGACCCTAATGCCCCAATCCAAAGCGCTCACTCCACATCTCCAAATACAGGTACCAAAGCACAGGGCAGACCAAGCATAACAAGCAGCAGCATCTCGATTTTCGAGGGGGGGAGCAAGGAAGCAAGCGCACGAGGACGTACCTGGGTGAGCGTGAACAGGAAGAGTCCGAGGCGGTTGTGGTGGGCGAGGGACTCGAAGGGGAAGGGCGGCACGACGTCGCCCCCGGCCTGCGCCGGCGGCGCGAAGACCTGCACGAGCTGGCACACCGCCATCTTGTGCGGCGTCAGCTCCAGGAGCGCCCTTCCGGTGCCCACCCCGGACGCCGCGCCGCCGCTGACACCCGCAAACAAGCTCATGGCGCCGCCCGCCGCCGCTGGAGACAAGGGTTTTGAGTTTTTCCTCTCTTTTTTCGCGTCTTGTCTCGGCTCGGAATGAAGTGAAGCGGACTGTGGCGGGCGCGCCTGGAGCTGCTTCACGCGCGGCCCTGCCAAACGGGCTACATCAAAAATTCAAAACAGCTTCACGGATTTTTTTTTTTAATTCACGCTAAGAGCAACTCAGAGACTTGGTGACCAGAATACCCTTCAGCAGCTTCTTTAATGGCTGTTTGGAAGGGCTCTCGGAGAGGCTCCGGCTCCGACTAAGCCCTGCCAAACACCGCAGCCAGAAATGGCTTCACCGAAAGAGCCGTCGATAGAGCCGGAGCCCTATTGCGCTAGGGAGAAGGAGCTACGTTTCGAGGCTTCTCGTGGCTCTTACGGCCACGGAAGCAAATACGTTGGTGCCCTCAAGTCCTCGACCCCTCGCTCGGTTAGGTAGAGGTCACGTTGGCGCGGTTTTTCACCGAAGCATGCGGGCAGAGACGCGGGCACTTGAGCTGCGCGGGCAGAGCGGCGGCGTGGGAGAGGAAGAGTGCGGTGTGGGAGACGGCGAGCGGCAGCGCAAGCGTCGGTGCGACCGCAGCACGCGGCGGCGGCTTGTGCGAGCGGATTGGAGATGTGTGTGTTTTTTCTCCTGAGTGGAAGATGCGGTTACGTTAGAAAACGGAGAGGGTGGGCAGTGGGCCTGCAGGCCGTACGAGCCTTGGCCCAAAAGGTTAGTACGTGATTTTACCTCATTTCTTGCTTAAACAATTCTTCATATATGATTTACTTGATCATGGCCAAATTATGATTTTATTGGTGCAAGATAATCAATTACTATGTAATAATCACTATATACGAACTGCTATCCTATCCTATAGTACAAGCAAAACCCTACTAAAAAATTTATCTCATTTCATAACGCTCCACGTCATCGCTTCATATGGTCCATCCGATCATACCTGGGAATCAAATCCATCCCTTAATCATCCACCACCTGGACCACTGTTCAATAGGGGATGGAAAAAAACCGCAACAATTAATGGCATCCACCTCCACCTGCACCTCCATATTCCCACCTGGCCCACTTTTCCCATAGAAGATGGAAAAAAGAAGCCGCGTCAATTTACACCCCCTTTCGCTTGTATCAGCAATGTTTATCAGTTATAGTATAGTATTTTTCTCTCACAACAAAACAGCATTAGTTGGTTTATAAGCTATAGAAACTGTCAAGCGAATAGGGTGCACACGTAGACGTCCTATTCGTTTGGGCTTGTTTGGCTTATAAGCCGTACTTTTCAGCCAACGAACAGTATTTTTCTTTCACACCAAATCAGCCAACAATATTTTCAGCCATGGTTTATCAGCCAAACAAGTCCAAACGAACAGGGCGAGAGTTCAGACTTTAATTTAAATAAATTGTACCATATATGATAATATCCATTCTCCATGATTATATGCTGATACATCAATATTATATCATGTTCCTGCACTACCGACATCATACATATGCATCTCCTAATTCTCAGTTGTTAACGTTCAAATCCATCTGTATTCCTTTGTGATACCCGCAGCAACACGCGGGGAATCATTCTATAAATATTAAAATCAAGTCAAGTAGTAATATTATAATGAGCAAGAGTACTATAGACATTTAACATCTTTCTTCCATTAAAAAGAACGCGAGGAGCCGTTTTGCCAAACGTTTTTTCAAAACGGCCTCGGCTCCTTCGAAGAAACCATTTCTTCAGAGAGGCCGGAACCGGAGCTGTTTTTGGAATAGCCAGAGCCCTGCCAAACAATCCCTTAATATAATCATTTTCTATTCTTAATTTCTCGCTAACCAAAGGTAAAAACCGAGAATGACTCTTTGTGCACACTGATATAGAAAAACTGTTGGAGAGTGAGGAAATATAGAAAGTGATTTTTATTCAAATGGCTCTTCAAATGATGATTTAGAAAGTGAGTTTACAAAGACTCTTGGAGATGCTCTAAGATTTAGGTTATCTCTGTGTTTGGTTCCCACTAAGGCCTCCTTTGAAACGCAGGGTGAGAAAAACATAGAAATAGGAAAAACTTAGAACTCGCTATGGCATGCATACATGTGGAATCTTATGGGAATTGAAAACGTATGAAAGAAAAAGAGATGCCTTTGGCAAGCTACGGTAAAAAAATATGAATGTGAGTTGGACACACAAGATGTGTGTTGTCAAGATAAAAATTTGAGCCCTCTGTAGACCGCAATATTTTGACCTATATGGGGTAAAATTTTGTTTCATTACTCAGATGAGTGGGTCCATCGACAAAGAAGCAAAGATTAGAGATACTAGTTGCTCGAGAAGGCTTTTCTCGTTCTCTGTGCATAGGATTTTTAGCAAGAGGTCTAAGTGAATGTTAAAATTCCTATGGAATCGGTATTGTACAGGGTAGATTTCCTATGGAGTACAAAGCATGAATCCTACGAACCAAAGGCTAGGAAAGAAAAAAAATCCTTCGTAAAGTCCTTCAAACCAAAGGAGGCTTGGGATGTTATCTGATTTTGGGATTCAACACATTTGGCTCGTTGATTTATGGGCAAGACTAGCGCCTGAACATTCGGACGGCTGTGCGCGTCTGGACGCGCGCGCCTGCTCCACCCAGGTTGCTCAGATTTGGACGTCGCTCGTGCTAGCTTCGCTTCCCCGCGCCCGTATTCGGACCGCTCCCTTATGCTCCGTTGCCCACGCCACCTAGATGACTCGGCCCCATCTCTTCCACACCGCCGTCTCGCTCCGCCTCTTCCACACCGCTCGGATGACTCCCTGCATCTTCCACACCGCCGTCGCGCAACCTGCGCCTCCTCCCCACATCAACGCCGCCATAGCTCCCGTGCTGGCTCTCTCTTCCTCGCTCAACAACCTTACATCTAGATCTACTTTTGCAACAATCAGATGAAACAATTACAACATACGTCTAAAAGAGATGAAACATTTAGAACATAACCATTACAACATCTACAACCTCCAGATAAAACTTGCAACACGCGTCTGAAACAGATGAAACATTTTGTACAAACTCCCGCAACATACGTCTATTATCATTGCAAAATGTTCAACATGTGGAAACTACCATTTCAACATCCATACGAAACATCTGAAACATTTAAAATATGCATTTTGCAACATAGGGAAGGCCGATGCCAGTCGATTCTAGGTGTCGGAGTGGGAGCTGGCAGCAAGCGGCGACGCACGAGCGCCACCCGTACCAACACTAGCGGTGGCGCGCGAGCAGCTGAACACAACTAACACCGGCCTTGACTTAGCCGGACGGGCGGCGCACATGACGGGTGGGAGCAGGCTGCGCGCACGACGGGAGGGAGGGAGCGAGGCGGAGTGGGGTGGTAGGTGCAAGCGCGGAGTGGGGTGGGGGTGCGCGTCGCGGGCAGGCGATAAGGGTGAAGGCCCGCGGTGCGCAGCGCGCTGCGCATGTCAACGGACGGACTGCAAAGCATGACGAAATTTATTTTTTTAAGAATAAATTTAGTTTTTTTTGTTAAAGTGTAATCTCGGCTTAATTTTACCTCTATAATCACTACTACGCGAGAGGCTTCTCACATCTTCCTGCCATGTAACGACTCAGCGTCCGAGCCAGCCGCCGCAGGATTGTGGTCTACTGGTTTGGTTTGCAGTCCGCCGCTGATAGCCCACGCGACAGGCACCAAAACATCCGGGTTTCCGGACAAAACCGCCGTAGGCACGCAGTCCCGGCACCGGCCGGCTGGCAGCAGCCATTGCCCGTCGGTCCCCACTCCCGGCCCGCGGCGCCCGTCCACCCCCCTCCATCTCTCTCCTGTCTCCTCACGCGCTCCACGCACGCAGAGACGCGCACACAGCCTTCTCCCAGTCCACACCCGCTGTCCCGCTGTCCGGCTGTCCCTCTTGGAGTCTCGGTCTCTGCTGTGTTTCCCTCTCGCGGTCTCGCCCTCGCCTTCTCACTTCCACCCAAAAACCCTAGTCGCCCATCTCTCTGCCCAAAACCCTACCCCGCCGCTGCCCGTACCTCGTCGCCGTGGTCGTCGCCGGCGCCTTCATGGACGCACGCTAAGTAAGAGAAATCGCTCGCTGGTCTCTCCCGAATCCTGCTCCTGTGTCTCGCGCTCTCGGTGGCGGCGGCGGCGGCGGCGGCGGCGGGGAGAAACGCGGCAGCCAGGTAGCAGGTACTGCTGTTGTGCGTTGGCGTCTGTAATGGAGGAGCCGAATGCGGGCGGCGCCGGCGCGGCGGCAGTAGAGGTAGCGGATCCGGCTGGCGCCGGAGTCGGGGCTAGCGCATCGCCATGGAGGAAGAACACACCACCTCCGGCGGAGTCCGGCGAGGCGGCCGTTATGGGGGCCAAATCCTGGCCCGCGCTCGAGGAGGCGAGGCAGAAGGTTGCCTCGGAGCCCCCCGCGAAGGCAGCGGCGGGCAATGCTGCTGGCAGCGATTCCGCGAAGGGGCCGCAGGCCCCCCCTCCGCCGTCGGCTCCATCGCAGGTATAATCTGTCCCTGGTTCTGATATGCTCATATGTATAGTTTTATTGTTCACTGGGTCTGTGTCTATTTTGGTGTAGCTAATTTTTAAGGTACTGTTGGTGAAAATGCTAGCGGTTGCTCGCTTCCGTGGATATGGGTAGTTATTACCTCTTTTGTGCTGCCTGGTTGAATGTAGGTGTTTGTCGATTCGTTGGCGAGTAGTAACGGATAGTTATTTTTATAGTAGTTCCAGCTTTTTGTCCAGTGCATTCATGTTAGATGTTGGGTTCCAGCTGACCAGGTTGCACTATGTTTGTAGTATGTTACACTTGTCATGGTAACTCAAATTTGTCGCCTAGCTGAACTGCTGAAGCATCTTGTTTGCACTTAGATAGTATTCTTTTGCATGGCATGCCCCATTCGGGGGATTCCCTGTCCAAATTGGAACTTGTTCTGAATGTGCTAGACTTTTACCCAGTATTCTGTTGAACAGTTTTGACGCAAAACACCATTCTGAAGTCTGATAGGCATTGTGGTAGGTCTTGCAATTCCCATTCTTCCCTTCCTCTACTGCATATACATTTCAATCCTTTTTGGTTTGGTTTTGCTTCATTACATCTCTGTATCACAATAAAAGCTGTGGTGCTTCTTTGGTTTTGTAAAGACATTATAGCATTTCTATTACTGATGCATATAGGATTAGAGTCACTCTTCCTAGGTTAGATCCTATGTGCATTTTCCATCTATTATTCATACTTTGCTTCAGTTTTATAAAAGTGGGCAAACATTTTCAGGTGGCTAGTCGTATGCACAAGTTTGATGGCCATGGAAATGGAAATCCCAACAGAAATAACCAAGCCCATCATAGAAATGGGCCCAGGAGACGTTTTCCTGCTGCTAATGGTGCACCACCTTACCCTCCACCAATGCATTATCCCCAACATCCAGGGCAGCCCATATTTTACCCTGTGGTTCCCAGTCCAATGATACTACAAGAATATTCTTACCAGCCATTTCCTATCCCGGTCCCGAATCATGACCGGCATGTTGGAAAGTCTGGTTATGAGAATTCTTTGCCTCCTTTTGTTCCAGTAGATCAAGTTGGTGCCCATGAAGGTAACAGGCCAATGCCTCCACATCCAAGAGGAGATCCTCATCTTTGGCGGCCTCCTGTTGGCACTCATGGCACTAGGTCCCATCCTGGTCCTGAAGGCCATGGCCATTATGGTCAGGCTTGGCAAAATCCTCAGATGTTTGGTACTAGAGAAAACACAAGCTTACCACAAGGTCTTGGGCCAAGAGCTTTTGTCAGACCAATGGTACCTCTTGGATACATCAATGGACCACCATATCCTGGTAATGCTCTACTCAGCAGTTATGACATGTTTGGAATTTGGATTTTTTCAGTTTTCAAATATTGATGAATGCTTTAAACTCAGGGCCTATCCCTCCCATGTATTATTACATGCCGGCTGTACCTATGGATTCAGTGAGAGGTCCACCACGCTACATTCAAAATCAACCGGCTCCTAATCCTGTTTTATCCCCAGAAGCTGCTGAGTTAAGATCTAATATACTAACTCAAGTGGAGTACTACTTCAGGTAAATTCTTATTATCTTCTTTTGAAGTTATAAGAAAGCATGATACCTACAAAAATAGGCACGTGGATTTGTAGCAATATGTTAATAGATTCTCACTTAATTTTAGTGGGTGCTGGGTAGGGGTGCCGAATAGTTTATTTTAATTGGATATTTGCCAGTCGTTAGAAACATGATCTTAAAAAGTTCAGTTTGATGTTGCATCATACTTCACTGTTGTATTGTCATTATGCAACATACATGCAAATACCAATACAGCCTACAATTTAAGACGACCTTATATGTTTCGAAAACATCAGGAGTGATTAAATGTTCTTTTAGCACAAGTGTGGCATGGAATCTTTTGTTTATTCAATCATTTTTTTTTTCAGTGATACAAATCTGGAGCATGATGATTTCTTGAAATCTTTAATGGATGAGCATGGTTGGGTTCCAGTTTCAAAACTTGCAGATTTCAAGAGAGTATGTTTTCTTTCCAGATTGCTCAATGTTGTATTTCTATTATTTTGCCCTTGTGCTAGGAAACAACTCTTTTGTTTTTTCTTCTTATTTGCAGCTTAAGAAAATGACCGAGGATATACACCTGATATTAGATGCACTGGCAAGCTCAAGTCTTCTAGAAGTTCAGGTTGCAATGTTATTTTAATTGTCATTGTTCGAATTTCATGTTCTGTTTAGGTATTTGGTTTTAACTTATCCTTTTCTTGTCTACTGCCAGGATGAGAAGATTAGAAGGCGTTCTGATTGGTCAAAGTGGGCCTCGCTTTCTGGTACATCTGTTGCGAGCCCATCATCTGCCAGTATGGATAGCAGTGTGGGTGAGAAGAACATTGGTGGCTTTTCAAATAAGGATGCTTATTCTGAAGATCAAAAGAAGCATTGTCAATCTAAAGATATTAGATGTAATACAGATATTGGTATGGAGGAAAACGTTATTGATGAACAAGTGCAAGATTCACATGGTTATTCATTGAATAAGGACTTTTCTGTCATCAGTATTGATGAAAAGACTAAGAACCTTTCTGCACACCCTTCACACAAACATGAATCTTCTTTTAGATTTTGTGAAGTTCAGAAAGTGAGGTCGAAGATAAATGTACCTGATGCTCAGAGTGAAAGAGGTTTCTCTAATGGTTTCCCAAGTGACTTCTCTAGCTTTGGTGGTGACCAGAGCACTTTCTTGCTTGATGAGGAACTGGAACTGGAACATGTGGACCATTCATGTGATGACCTCTATTCACATAAAAGGTAAATTATAACTGGTATAGGATCAATTTTTCATGTGTTTATTAATTATTTTCTAGGTGTGTATGCATGTGGATGTGGTAGCCTATTTTTCCCTTCTCATGGCAGAATAACTAAATACTTACGTTGTGTTTGGTTTGGTGCAAGTTTGCCCAAATTGGCCAAGCCAAATTTTGTCTACTTTCACCAAATTTAGCCACCATTTTGGTTGAGTGCAAAAGTTTGGTTTGCTAGCCTTCTCCTTTGGCCACCTTAATTCATCTTGATGGCCAAAGTTTGTCAAATCCTGGGCCATTTAGCAGCCGAAATTTGGCTTGGCTAAGAACCTAAGAGGTGACAAATTTGGTAGCAGACCAAACATACCCTAAGCCTTGTCAACTTTGCTTTCTTTAGCTATTGTCCATATGGGCTAGCTACCTAGCTTTTTCTTGACAAAGCAGGGTGGGCATTGGGCAAGAAATTCCAACATACCCTTAGCCTACTGATGTATGTGTGATAGATGTGCGCAAACGTTTCCTTATCCATGTAACCTGCGCACTTGTATTTTCTTTTAGAACAAAAGGTATACATTATACACTTTAGATAATAATAATACACCTTTTAAATAGTAGATAATATATTACTGTTATACATGTACTTGTTTGTCACTTTCAATCATGGCAAACTAGGTGGCAAAGCCACAAGGAGAAATCTTAAGTTGCTATTTAAATGTCAGAAAAATATACGCCAGCCATATTTAATGTCAGTATTTCACTAAAATATTATGTTTTAGTTGCATTATGCGTAAAATATTTTTTCCAGCAACTAATGGTCTGCTTCCATAGTAGAATGCTATATAACATCTTCATATTAAAAAAAATGTCATACTAGATGTCTTACCATACAGATCAGAAAGTCAGGCTGACAACATTTGTGTATAGCTCAAAGTAGTTCTCATGTTGTGCTCCATTACACATCTCCTATGCTACAGGGACTAGAAGTTGTGCATGCATTAATGATTTTCTTTTGCAATATTTCTGTTTCAAGCAGGGGCAATGATGAGGATGAGGACTTTTTTGTTGATGATCAAGATGTTAGTAGGCTAATGATTGTCACACAGGTTGGACTTACATAATTCTGTGCATCTTGCTTTATTTATATAACGATATTAATGCCTCTAACTTTCCTGTTTCTTGCCGTCATAACCAATAATGCACTTGAGTTAGCCTCTGTTGGTTTCTTAATATGGACAGTGATCAAATGGTTTTGGGTAAATCGGATTAGGAGTTCATTGTAATATAGACCCTGTATACAATACTCTTTTATTTGATGCATCCTTTTCATATCACATCTATCCTGTACTACCAAATCTAGAATTGTCAATTAACCCTTTTGTGTCTGTTGTTTGCCTGTTTTAAGATATTTTCATTCATGCCACTCTTTGTAATTGCATTGCTATTGATGCCCTTAAGGAGATCACATTTATAGTTTATTTGTAGGAATTGTTCTTCAATAAAATTTGTGGTGGACCAAACAGTACAATTACTTGTTGAGTGGCTATATGTAATGCCATACTGCACAAATGTCACAGCTTAGCAGGCCAAAACTACGCACTTGCTTGTTGAAGCTCCAGATTATAATTTTCTTTAACATCTGTAATCTTTATCTATCAATTTATTTTGCCACTGACTAGTTGGAGGTTAACTTGTCATATTTGATAGTGTTGGGGCAAATGGGTGATTCATTAGATAGCATTCCTTAAGTTGACAATATTGGACAGTATTTTTGTTCAGTTATCTTTGATAGTATCTCTAGACTTCTGATGTGCATTTCACGCTTCGATGAGGAGAGCCTTTTATTTATTCTGCTGACAATTATAAGATTTTAAAAAACTTTCTTGGAGCTGGTCCTGTTTGGAGGAGTGGTATTGCACCAGAGATTTATAGGATTTTTAAACTCAAGCTTCACTAAATTCTAACGGCTGGATCTGGATTCTGATTACCCCAGATCCAAACAGGCCTTTAAGGGTTTAGCTCAGACTTGTGTGATTGAGATACTTTTGGTGTCTTACATGTATTTAGTCACCGTAATCATGCTTATTTGTTCTAGAATGGCTTATTGCCCTTGAGTAATGACTAACTAATTGTTAATTTCTTCTGCCAAACCATGCAATGAGTTGTATTGTATGTTTGCTTGGGCCTGGGGCTGGTGGGTTGTAGAGAACCCCTAACAGTTCAATAAAGTGCATTTATAATGCATGCTGAAATTATTTTCAGTTGAAAGGCAACATCCTTGTAAACGTCGGGGTCCCTATGTTTCTTCATTAGTTTTTACAATACAATTTGGTGTCCAAAGTATTTTGCAGATCGAGTTGATGTCTGAGATATGGAACTTGTGATGAGCTAGTGCGAAGCTGTACTCCGTATCATTTAATGACATTGAGAACATTTCACTGAGAAATTGTTTCAATTTTGTATCTCACAGGATACTAGGTTAGAAAAGGATGACAAAAATCGCAAAAGTATACCACAGGCGTTTTCAACTGAGGAAGCTTCAAGAATAAGTGATGCCTTATACCGCTATGAGGTGATGTGTTACGGTTCATAGCATTACAAAGTGGGGAAATTCCTTATATGCCACTGGCCAATGCTCATCGGACATTGTCATGCTATCCATTTGCCTGTTAACCAACAATTGATTGGCTGAAAAAAGACTATTTGGTCCTTACAACGAAGTTACCTCCCAGTTAACACCTCTAACACGTCTGTGAGAACATAGATTGCTGGTGGTTTTGCTCCAGTTAATACTACCTACTTCCCCGATTCGTATATCCTTATATTTAGGGTAAATTGAGCAAATGCTTCCTTCGTAAAATTATAAGCTCATTATTTCAAATTCTCATCTATGAAAAGTTGCAAGGTGTTTTGTAACCTTCAGTGTCAGCTCCCAGGTAAACTTATTGGTAGTAACAGACAATTTTTCAATCGTGTTCCATGTTGCTGTTTGAGTCTTGGACTCTGTATCATTGATTCAAATGTTTGCTTATTTAAATTTGGAGTCATTGAAATAAGTGTGTTGGAAACTTGGAATAAGTGTATTCCTTGTGGGGCTACATTTGAATCAAGCTGACTTGAGGTCAGGCTTGAATGTCTTGAGTGTCTGAGCTTAATTTTACTAGCTAGCTTTTTTGCTTCTCTTAGAGGGCATTCTGAGACTCCGCTTTGTATACGATGATCTTCTATTTGGTATTAAATTCTACCTTTTGTTCTATTCTCATGCTAATCTTGTACTATTAATTCTGACTTCAGAAACTTCATGGTCGACGCACTGGTAATCAAAGAAGTTCCCAGGCTAATCCTGCAGATGTTGATTCTAAACCAACCAGTGGTTCAAAGGGGAACCATATTGGCACTGGGACTAATGGTACTGAAGAAGCTGGACAGCCCATTCCACGTAGGCGCCAAAATAGAGGCAATAGAAAAGCGCACGGCTCACGTAAACAGAGGTTCTTTGCTGGTAATTTTGTGAATAATCCCGATCAATATGGTGGTGTATCAGAAAGTCCTCCAGGCAATTCAGTTGGATATTTCTATGGATCTACTCCAGAAAATCACAGGTGGGTCAACAATTAATCCTTGTCTACTTCAGTAAAACCTACCTAATTGCTGTTGATTTGATGATTCCACTGCTGTCTAGTTATAAAAGCTCAAAGCTGAGTTCATCTCCTCATGGAATTCCTACTGGGAGCTCGCCTGTTGGATCTGTGCCCAAATCTTCTCCACAATCTCACCATCTTACTTATCATCTTTTAGAAAAAAATAAACTCCAGCAGCAAAGGTAAATGTCTTATGGCGTGGAAGTGTATTATAAGTTAATGTTCTTTAAACATTATTCATCTGTTCTCCTCCGTTCCATTTCCTCTTATATATATATCAACCTTCTTGTTTTGAGTGAAGGTACAATAAGTTCATAAATCAATGCCTTGTGGAGCGTAAGAAATTAGGCACTGGCCAGAGTGAGGTACAGTTCTCTCCTATATTTATCTGGCACTCGTATCTTTGTAAACACTAACTAGCGAAAAAGCATAAAGCTGATTAGGTTTAATCTATATGTGCCATTACATTGTCTTCGTGATTATGTCAGTTGGACCATCAGACTTATGATTATACTACATGTGCCCTTGTTCTTTAACTGAAAAGTTATATTTTTCATTACTATTGACATGTGTGCTTTCAATGGTCTGCAGCAAATGAACTCACTGTATCGTTTTTGGTCATACTATCTAAGAGAGAACTTTAACGAAGATATGTACAATCATTTTAAGAAATTGGCACTGGAGGATGCTGCAGCGAGCTACAGATATGGTCTCGAGTGTCTATTCAGATTTTATAGGTATGGACATCGTAGTTTGAAGAATAGCCTTCCAATTGCCACTTATTTGCATTTTGCAGCATCTTATTTGATCAGTACTACCTCCATAATCTTTTATAAGGCGCGACTTGATATGACACGGTCTCCTAAATCATACTTTGACCATTTATTTATTTATTTTATATTGTTAAGGGTTATAATAAACTTATGATAATTGGATAGTATATTTGATTACAAATCTAACCGCATTGTAATATTCAAAACAAATATCTAAATTATTGGTCAAAGTTTTTAAAGTTTGAATCTTAATATGCGTGTGCGTCTTTTTGCAATAGAGCAGCATCAATTATTACCTTTTTTTTGCAGTTATGGTTTGGAGAAAAACTTCCAACCCAATGTCTATGAAGATTTCGAGAAGCTTACTTTCGAATTCTACCATAATGGCGATCTTTATGGACTCGAAAAATACTGGTACGTGTTATCTTTTTATTTGTTTGCATTCCTCTTTTGTGAAATTGTTGCTGGAGATTATTTGTTTATCTTTAGCGAAGGAATATACTGTTGCTCAAACTCTACGATTACATGTGAACTTACTGTTATAGTGTCACCCTATGAGTAGCTGCACGCATGCAGTTCATTCAATTTCTATATATTGTTATGCATGCAGTATCTACATGAAAGTGGTGTATACCAGGAAAACTGGTGGTCCAACTTGATAATGGAATCTGAAAATGGGAGTGGAACTTGTCTGATTTGAGCTCATGATAGTCACTGACATTGATTTTTTCTAATTGCACCAGGGCATTTCACCATTACCGAAATCCAGATAGCGGCCATGTAGATAAACTTCCAGAGCTGGAGAGGCTCCTGAGGGAGGAGTTCCGGACCCTAGAAGACTTCAACAAGGCAAATGAGAAAGCCCGAGAGACGGCAGAGAAAGGAACTCGCATCAGTAGCAGTAGTGTGGCGGTGGCCGCTAGTCATAGCAAGGCTGAGACTAAGTAGATCTGAGCCCGGCATGAAAATTTTTGGTGGTCGCCCCAGAAAAGGAGGAAGTAGCGTTTTCTTTTTCTTTGCGGAGAAGTAATGATTCGAGTAGACATGTGCAGATTTTGGTATACCCCCCCTCCTGCCAATACCTTGTGTTGTGGCTGCCCAGGAAATTTTCCTCCCTTTTTTCATTACCTTCCTGGCACCAATGTGGGAGTTGTACATAGATAATTTTTTCTCTTGTTAAATGGACAAATAATAGAGAATGGAGTTTAAAGACGTGGTTGTGGTGGCTCGGTGCTGTTCTTTAGGGAGTGGGCTCTGTTGGTTTAGCATGCTATAATGGCCCCGTTCGCTGGTCTGAACTTTGGCTGAAACTGGCTGAAAAATACTGTTCCGGCTGAATTGTTGTGAGAGAAAAACACTGTTCCGGCTGAAAAAACAAGCCAAACTTTAAGAGAAGCGAACGGGGCCAATGTCCTGAAAAATGGTGGCGTAATCATCTTGAAAACTTTTTTTTTGAATCTTTTTCGAAATTTAAAAATGATGCAACAAATCCTATCTATCTTTGAAACCTTTTCTTTTTTTTCCTTATAAACTTGTGGTAGAACAAAAATGACGTCACTTTAAGAAAAATGATGTCAGGGCCATTTTGAAAACTAAAACTTGGCGCCACAATGTCACTCGTTTCAAGAAAAATCTTGCGACAGTTCCGTACTTGCTTTTTAAGAACTGAAGTTGGAAAGTGAAGCCACAGCAACCATAGTGATGTGTTCTTTTGGCATGCCGTTTGTTCCGTTTCGAGTAGTGTATCCTTGGATCTGACGACCGTTATGGTGGTGGATTTGTTGGTCCAATGTCGGAGCACGGAGTAGCAGCACCAGAGGCTGTGTTTGACTTTGCTATTCTTCAACGATCAAGGTCCATCCTTCGTGGTTGGATAAAGCAATTTTTTACTTCGATTGCTTCGATTTTTTTTATATAATCTGTATGAAGGTCAATGTTTGTGTCTGATGAAGATCACAACATATTCTCGGTTCAACTTTCAACCTTCAGCGCTGCAGTACATAAGGAAGGCATTTGAAAGTCTTTTGTCTCCATTGTTCGACAATAGTGACGGTTCTTGAAGGCTTCTGTGAGATTTGGCGTCGAAGCTCCTGCTCAAATTTCATTCTACAGTGCTCTTCTGCCTGGATACTCTCCTTAGGAGCCGTTAAGGATTTATATCCTGTTGCTAGCTGTCTGTTTGCATGTAAGGCCTCGTTTGGATGTATGTGTATTTACTTTAATTCACGTGTGTTAGAGTGGATTGGAATAGAACTTAGTTTAATTCCACTCCAATCCATTCCAACACATATAAATTGAGATAAATACATGCGCATCCAAACAAGACCTAGTTAAGAATTTTTATCTCTACTCTTTATACTCTCGGTTCAATGGTATTATATATAGGTCTTTCTTAAAGAAAAAAAAGAAAGTAGCTAGGGAAAGTGTGGTATCACTCAAAACTCACCGCAGGGCAATTTGACAAGCACTCCCTCTGCCCCCACAATAAAAACACATTTAAGATTGGCAAATACTGTAGCCCATAGAAAGTACAGCTGGCATAATTGGCAATATAACGCCGTGTTTAGTTGGAGGCCAAATTCCAAAAAGTTGCTACAGTACCTGTCACATCGAATGTTTGCGGCTCGTGCATAGAGCATTAAATGTAGACGAAAAGAAAAACTAATTGCATAGTTTGGTGGGAAATTACGAGACGAACGTTTTGAGCCTAATTAGTCCATGTTTGAACACTATTTGCCAAATAAAAATGAACGTGCTACAGTAGCTCCAAAATCCAAATTCATGGAACTAAACAAGGGCTAAAGATTGAAGTAGTACACGAAACAGTGGCACTACAATTATTATGTGGCTAAAATTTCACAACAGAAACAACAGACAAAGTATCGTGCCCCCTATACGCTGGTTTACCTGTTAGGGTGTTCGGCTGGTACACAAAAACACTGTGTATCGGCTTGTACCGGATGGTTCAATAGTGTTTTGTGAGAGAAAATAAGCTGAAATAAGCTAAGACAAGAATAACCGAACATGCCCTTATACAGTAAAGAGAGCTTTTTTGAGATAAAGTTTGAAACACAAAAGTCGTTTTTATTTTGGCACCAAGGAGTAGCAGCTAGGGCTGGACAAAATACTTGCGCCTCGCCAACTCGCTCGACTCATGACCGGTTCAGCTCGGCTCGACTTGGCTCGTTTTAACTTTTTCACGAGTTAAGCTGGAAGTCTAGCTCGCTATTTTAACGAGCCAGCTCGAGAAATACTCACGAGCTGAAATGAGCTGAGGCCTTGTCGGGTATCGATATTAGGGATACCCAAAGCAAAGAAGTTAGCGCCCACGCTGACTTTCCCGGATGGCTCGAGACGTATTAAAAGGTCTCGCCCGACTCCAAGGCTGTGGGCTTTGTCTCGCCCGACCTCGAGGCCACGGGCTCCGTCTCACCTGACCCCTTGGGTGTGGGTTCCGTCTCGCCCAACCCCAAGGACGCGGGTTCCGTCTCGTCCAAGGCCGCGGGCTCTGTCTCGCCCGACCTCGAGGCCACGGGCTTCGTCTCGCCCGACCCTTTGAGTGCGGGCTCCGTCTCGCCCGACCCCAAGGACACGGTTTCCGTCTCGCCCAAGGTCGCGGGCTCCGCGGGTTCCGTCTCGTCCGACGGGGACCCATACCGCCGCTAACCACTCTGAAGCAAGGGAAGAGGCTGGCACGCCTCGATGTAACCCGTGGCTATGACGGGCCATACCCGGGGATTCACATCAAGAACAGCGTCGGGCGTGCCGGTGCTGTTTTGCCTAATCCTCGTACGAACGCTGACAGGCGCGTCAGTTTACCACGACGTCCGCCGAGACGGAGTGGAACGCCATGACCGGCAGATGACATCTGCGCATGGCGCTAGTGACGAACAGAGCCATGACATAGAGCCGTCCCTGTTGACATCTACAGGATCGGCGAGACCCGTATGAAGGACAAGGACCCGGCAACCCTAGAAGCCTTCTTCTCTCTTGTTCTTCTACTTTTCATCCTCTGTAACCCGTGCTTTCCCTTCGCCTACAAAAAGGGAAGCAGGGTGCCCCATGGGGGATGGGGACAGAAGAGCACGACACGAGCACACGGCTGAGCGACAAGCGAGCTCTCAGCACCCGTTCACTCCTTCCACCAGAGACTTGGGATCCTCTCCCTCTCTCGCCTGTTTATAACCCCTATTGGAAACAAAGTGTCGGTAACACGAGCAGCAGCGAACTGGGCGTAAGGACGTTCCGCCTGAACTAACATAAATCCTTGTGTCCTCCGAGTACACCATCCGAGCTAGACGTACAAATACAAATTTACTCGAAGGTGGTCCGAAAACACCGACAGTTGGTGCGCCAGGTAGGGGCTTTTTGCGCGTCTCGACGTCCACATTAGACCAGTCACGACGTTAGCTGGTTCCCGGGCGCACATGTGCGCTTCGAGAACCTGGACTTCATCGTTACGACGGAGGGAGAGTTGACGTAGGTTCCCGCCGCCATCCAGCCTCTCCACTCCGTCGGCCTCGATGCGATCGCCGAGACGCTTGAGGAGCTGCAGCTGCACGCATCGGAGGCCTGTGCCCCCGGGAGCGACCAGCTCCTCGGCTTCCATTACCGGAGGCTAGAGCACCAGCTCAACGCCTTCCTAGGACCCTGACTGTCCTGGGAGAACCTGCACTGCCTCACCTTCTTGTTCGCCAATGTCATAACGTAGCTTGCCGGAGGAGAGCCGCTCTCCCTAGAATACCTCATCCGGAGCACCTCAACAATGCTCCCGTTCGGTCTGCGCAACACCGCAGAGACCGTTGGCCACCTTGTGGCGCAGCACACGCCCCCATCCCCTATGAACAACGAGTTCGTGGGGATGACCGAATACGTCGCAGAATCTTTGCATGACCTTCTCGTGGGAGAATCAGAGTCGCCCTCTGACTCTGACTCTAGCAGGGGGAGTCATCACCCCTCGTGAGAATGTTTCATGGCAGGTACCCCCAAGGGATACATCGAAAGCATCCATGAGGGAGGGGCTACCCTAATAGACGACCTCGATGACGAGGTTGAGGGGGATGCAGGGGACCCACCTCACCTGCAGTTAGAGCAGTTGAGGGCGCAGCACTAAGAGCTTGAAGAAGCACGACTCCAGCTTGAGCAGGAACACGCGGAGCTCGAGCGAGAGATCGAACGCCATGGAGACAATGGGCGTGCGCACGCCGTGGCCCGCGACGTAAACTGGAGGATCATCAAGGACAACGAAGCGCTCCCACACTTCTCCCGAGCAAGTCAGAACATCACTGCCACGGTGGCCTTGCTCCGGGGGCTTTCGGAGCCCACGACACCCGAGGATCATTGGGCCCATCGTGAGATTTGTACGCTACTCGAGCGTGCGGTGGCACAGCAGGCCGAGAGCTCGTTGTCCTAATGACGCGAGCTCAACGCCAGCTAGGGCGCGTCCTCAGAGCGACCTGATAGGGATGTGTCAGTCCACCAGGCGCAGCGAGGCGGGAGGTCGCGTGCCATGGCCCCAGTGTATGAGCGTCTCGGCCTCCACCGTGACGCACGCAACACCCTAGATGCCCACAGGCGTATCGGTGGTGATGAGAGGGAGGAAGCTAGCCGTGGCTACCACCCTCATCGTGGCAGACGCTACGACAGCAGCGAGGACCAAAGCTTGAGCCCCGACTTGCTGGGACCTCAGGCCTTTGGCTGACACATCCTCAACGCCGTCTTCCCACCGCGGTACCGACCGCTGACCAACATCCCAAAATACTCTGAGGAAACAAACCCTGGACTATAGCTTAAGGATTATCGGCTTGCTTGCCAAGCCAGTGAAGCGGATAGTGATAATTTTATTATCCGCAACCTTCCATTGTTCCTGGTTGGAACACCTTTCGCCCAACCAAATCCAAAGTTGGGTGGACCTAAAAGAGATCTTTATGGGAAACTTCCAGGGCACA